CCATTTCTGTCACTGCTATGAGGGAATACTTTACAGGATGGCTACACATGGCACTTTCTTATACAGGAATGCTTTATTTTAAACTAAATGTGTTTGTGGTAAGGAAGGCTGTAATAACAAACTGTTTCAGGTCCAATACTAAACTGAAAAATGAACTGAGAGGTATTCAAAGAATGTCCCTTCATTGAGAAAGGATAAAATGTGGAATCACAAGTTTGACCTGAAAAAAGGGCGATAAACCCCTACCCCACACCACCACACCCATGTTGATGGAGAGATTGGCGGGGGGTTGCTTGTCAGCTGCATTCTTCCCTTTCAATTGCCGCTCCTAGCCCTTCCCACTTTTCTGCATGAGGCCGCTATATAACCAAGGAGACCAAAGTGATGCTTTCAACTGCAGATCTACTCCAGTAATCCTACCTGTGTCAGACCCAGACCTCCCAGCATGTCTTTCAGCACTAGATCCTACGGCCAGAAAACCATGAGTGTCTATGGTGGAGCAGGCGGTCGTGGCACCCGCATCTCCCAGACAAGCTATGCACCAACCTCTGGAAGCTTCAACCTGTCCGATGGCCTGGACCTCCATGTTGGGGCCAACGAGAAGGCCACCATGCAGAACCTGAACGACCGTCTGTCCTCTTACCTGGAGAAGGTGCGCACTTTGGAGAAGGAGAACGACCGCCTGGACAATCAGATCAGAGATTGGTACCAGAGCAGAACTGTCATCTCCCACGACTACACCCACTACTTTGCCATCATTGAGGACCTGAAGGACAAGGTAAGAGGAAAGACACAGATATGAGTGTGTGGGGTGAAGTATCTGGTATCAGGTTTCTATTGGTATGTACTGTATGTGTGGTTATGACAGTTGACATTTGAGTTAGAGAACCACAAAACCAATAATTGGTCTAGAAGTCGGCCGTCTTATCAGGAAGCACATACCACAAACACCAGTGAGGAAATGATTGTCATGACTGTCATACCAGATTCATTCCAACAATCCTGACAACAGTGATATTTACAAAAAGATGCAATGTGGGTTTACAATAGAGCCCGACTAAAGTTGATATTATGAGCCAATATTTTACTGTACATCAACAAGCACAGCCTTGTAATTTGAGCCTTAAAAACTATATATCTCATTTTATTTATGTATATCTTTTGTCTCTTATTTACACTTCCAACCAAAATTAAAGGGGTCATTTCCAAAGAAGTCTATAAATTTAATATCAACAATATATAAATCAATATATCTGGTATTCTTTTAAAGTCTAAATCGGTGGATATGGGCATCCCATTCTGTGCTGCTCTGTGCAGTAAAACTGTATGAAACTTGAGCTCAGCTGTACTTTTTCTGACTTGTTTTCTTCTTTTTTTTTCCTCCTCAGATTCGGATCGCCTCTAGGCTCAATGCCAAGACAGTACTGGACATTGACAACGCAAAACTGGCTGCTGATGATTTCAAAATGAAGTGAGTGCATTATTATGCCCCTGCCCCTCTCTGCACTGCCAGTGAAACTTCACATGTGCATTAAAGCGTGAACTCATGTCTAACTGATAACTTCTCATGTTAACTCCTCCAAAACCACTCTGAAATGACCTGATCTCTGTTCCCTCAGGTTTGAGAATGAGCTGGCCATGAGGATGGCTGTGGAGGCTGACATCGCTGGACTGAAGAGGGTGCTGGACGACATGAACCTGGCCAGAATGGACCTGGAGAGTCAGTATGAGGCCCTGAAGGATGAGCTCATCATGCTCAAGAGGAATCACGAAGAGGTGAGAGTGTACGGATAAAGCGAGTGGTGGGGCGTCCATTTGAAGCAATCTAATTTGACAAGTAGCAAAACTGATGAGTTTACATCTGTCAACAGCCCTGATACATTTCCACACACAGGCCAACACCCACTCTGTCAATGCACATTACCTGAAAGTCTGTTACTACACTGGTGACTGTTTAAACACTGCTCAGCATTAATCTTTTCAATAGCAGGGAGGTTAACACAGCAGCTATTCACTGTAAGAAAGAGTTGTCACCATTCATCATAGCCATCTATTGTGGCTTAAACTGATCAGAATTTGCACACTGAGGGAAAGGCAGAGGTCATGTGTGCACTGAGGAAATTCCATGTGAGGTCTGCCGCCTTCTCCCTTTTCCTTTTCTTCTCTCTACACACTTCCTTGTATTCTTCTCTCCCTCCATTAGCTCATTGCTACTGTTTGTCTCACACTGAACCCCCCTCACTACCACCACTACCACCAGTAGCACACACACACACACACACACACACACACACACACACACACACACACACACACACACTGTTAACACAGATCAAATAACCAAAATAATGCATGCAATACAGTACAAAAATAATTCATTAATTATTTTAAGTTATTCCACTGGCTGACTGAGGTGTTGTCCTTTTACCCTTGCAGGAGATGATTCTGCTGAGGAGTCAGATGGGTGGCCAGGTCAATGTGGCTGTGGATGCTACTCCCTCTACAGATCTGAACCAGGTTATGTCAGAGATCAGGGAGCACTACGAGGGTGCAATCAGCAAGAACCGCAAGGAACTCGAGGCCTGGTATCAGAACAAGGTGAGAACTTACAACTGCTGAGAATACAGCCACTTCAGCAACCTGTAAAGAGTTAAGTTGATCATATGTCAGTAATGTGATCGTTGGGTAACAATTTCCATTGTTTTTCTGATCGTCCAGATCACAGCAGTTGAGCAGGACGTGGTGACACATTCAGAGATTCTGGTGACGACCCGCACAGAGATTAAGGACCTGAAGAGCACCCTGCAGAGGCTTCAGATTGAACTGCAGTCCCATTTGAGCATGGTATGTCAACATGATTGATTATCTAACGGAGTGGATTTGACACTGTGATGCTTCTATACATACCCAGTAGATGTTAAAAGATGTTACTTTTCTCTGAATTTTAATCTCTGACTGCACCTAATAACTTCTTTCTCTGACCACAACAGAAAGCGTCTTTGGAGGGCACCCTGGCAGAGACTCAGGCACGCTATGCTGCACAGCTAACAAGCCTTCAGAACATGGTCACAAGCCTGGAGACTCAGCTGTCTCAGCTCCATGCCAACATCGCCAGCAACAAGCAGGAGTACGACATGCTGCTGGACCTCAAGACCCGGCTGGAGCTGGAGATCGCAGAGTACAGGAGGTTGCTGGACGGGGAGGATGACAGGTGAGACCTGATGAAGAGAGAGAAACACTGACTGGACTCTTTGGATTAGAGATTATACATAAAAACATTTAAATTAACATTTAATGACAATGTACGATGCACATGTTCTATACTAATGATTTCTTCTTTATTTTTCTCTCCATTACCAGTTCAAAACAAGGTAAGCAATCACATGTCTTTAATTCTTATTTTGTTATTAAACTGCTTACGTTTTAACTAAATTTTAGAAATGTGATGTGATTTTCTCATGATTGTTGTTTTGTTTCTTTTCCTCAGTGGTCACAAAGGTCATCACAGTAGTGGAGACAGTTGTGGATGGAAAGGTGGTCCAGAGCAGCAAGACTGTTGATGTGGACGTGGATGAGATTGAGTGATAAACTGGAAGCATTAGTTAAAATCAATAAAGATCATGCAGTTGAATTAAACATTCTTGTGTGTTGTAATTTCATAATGAACAGAATATTCAACATTTCTATTATCGTCCCTCACTGATGAATAATGAATGTTTCACAAATCAGATATAGTGGCTTGAACTTGGAATGTATCCTTAAAGGTCCAGTGTGTAACATTTCGGAGGATCTATTGGCAGAAATGAAATATAGATATTTCATTAGTGTATAGTCACCTAAAAATAGAAGGATTGTTGTGTTTTTGTTACTTAAGACTAAGCTGTTTTTATCTACAGAGGTAGCGGGTCCTCTTCTACAGCGGCTGCCTTGTTGAACTGCATGTTTCTCATAGCCCAGAACACTGGCTCAAGATACAATGCTACAATGCAGTACAGTACCAGTACAAATGAGCTGGTTGAGAACATTAAGAGAGCTTGATAAGGTGTGGCAAGTCAACCTTCCACTGTCTCAGTGGCCCGTTACAGTACTACAACTAAAGAGACAGACCACCATTGCCAAAGATAGATATATGACATTATCATCCCATTGCAAACAAGGTTGATTATTACTCTTTATAGTAGGATCTCTTTACACAATTAATATTTATTTTTCTACAGTCTAGTAAAGAAAACCTTTCATTGTAATAAATGGTCACAATCTGGTTTAAATTTCTTAAAATACATACCTGCTCTGCCCCCTAGAGGCCAAACATTGGTTGGTGCAGCTTTAATCAGTGTAATGAGGGACTGGGACCTATACCAGCATGCACTGGGTAAAAGTAATATAAACGTTTTTCACAAGTTTCTAGTCAAACCCGGGACTATTACTGCGAGCCAAGGCTACATTGGTACATCATATAGTGGCACTCCTAAATATGTATTTTCAAATAGGTTTGAATCAGAATCAGAAATACTTTAATCCCAGGTGGAAATTATTTAAATCTTTAATTAAAACCTGCTGAGCATAAATGCAGTTTGTGAACACATGCTCTGCTTCAAAACTGTACAACTGTAACGCTGTATTGCTGAACACTGTAGAATTTGGAGCTTAACTGACTGGTGTCTCAAAAGGAAATGGTTGAAGAGAGGGGAGAGCATTTTTACTCTTTGCTCAAATTTTCCCACTTATCCTTGGGATGCATACTAACAATTCTAAATTCACAGCTTCAATTTCTCTATCCTTTCACATCAAGTACATTTGTGGTGGTCCCTGCTACAGCCACAAGCTATTATGATTCTATTCTCAGCCGGTTTTACACACATAAAATTATAAAATAATCAGAACTCAGACCTACCCAAATACCTAAAGTAACGTGTAAATATGTAATTCCATAAGACCTTAGGTTCATGCCATAACATTATTTGAAGTAAGACACAAATAAGTCAGATAGGACAAAATGATAGTGAGCAATGGGCTTTTTATTGCATTCACATGTGTATGTGAAGGAAGTCTTGGGTTCAGGCTTGTGGCCCTCAGGTGTTGCCCCTTCTGCTGCTTTTGTCGCGTGACACAGATTATGAGGAGATGGAGGAGGACACAACCTTGCCGTCCTTTATTTCCTCTGTGCGCACTATCACCCTGGAAGAGGTGGAGGTGGAACCGCCGGTACTGTGGAGGGGGAGAAGTACAGTGCTTACATAAAAAATCTGAATAATGCTTAAATCTACAGAGCTAATTATTATTTTATAATAAAACGACTGTTCTTTGAAGGCAAATTACCTGCCCTCTCCGTCCAGCAGCCTTCTGTATTCTGCAATCTCCATCTCCAGACGTGTCTTGATGTCGAGCAGCATGTTGTACTCTTGGCTCTGTTGTTCAATGTCAGCACGCAAACACGTCAGCTGTTCCTCCAAGCCAGTTACCTGCATCTGAAGGCCTTGGAGTTGCATGGAATACCGTCCCTCTGTGTCAGCCAACGTGCCTTCCAGGGACGCTTTCTGGAGGAGGAAGAGAAAGAATTAATTAACTGAAAAAGTTCATCAAATTGTATTTCACTTAGGCTGGGCTAGGAAAAGCATGTAACGGTAGAGAAGAGTAAAAGTTTGCCCCAGGTAATTTTCACTTACCATGCTAAGTTGTGATTGTAGTTCGATCTCCAGGCCCTGCAGTGTGCGACGGATCTCGGTTATTTCTGTCTTGGACGTTTGGAGATTTTCTGTGTTGACTGCCACCTCCTTGTTCAGCTCCTCTGACTGCAGTAAACGTGGGAGAACATCAGTGTCATGTATAATACATTTGAACAACAGTCTACGCAGAATGAGATATTACTTATTAGTCAATAAAGATTAGCACCAGGGTTCTGGTCCAGACTTACCTTTGCTTGGAACCAGGCTTGAAGTTCTTTTGTGTTCTTGGCAGCTGAATTCTCATACTGTTCACGGATCTCAGCCATAATGGCGCTCAGGTCTTGCTGTGGTTTTGCGTCCACCTCCACGTTGATCTGCCCACTCATCTGGTTCCTCATGGCGGCCAGTTCCTGTTGAATAAGAGAAGTTTGGTAAGAGCTGGATGTTTCCTGAGTTGTTAGAGTACATCAGCAAATTAATTTTAATGATAAGCATTTGCTACACACCTCCTCGTGGTTCTTTCTGAGGTAAATCAGCTCTTCCTTGAGGCCTTCTATCTGCATCTCCAGGTCTGATCTAGCCAGTGTCAGCTCATCCAGCATTCTCTTTAGACCGGCGATATCTGCCTCCACTGATTGACGCATGGCTAGCTCATTCTCATACCTGTGAGGCAACAAGAGATCAGACATTTACACATCAACATCACAGTTTTTCCATTTCACTATTTAGATTCTGTCTCTCATCCTGATACTTACTTGGTTCTGAAGTCGTCTGCTGCCAGTTTTGCATTGTCAATGGACAGATAGATGCCTCCATTGACACGGGTGGCATCTTGGATCTGTGTAATGAAGCAATGTTTAATTTTACATAATTAGTATATATTTTTTCATCAAACTGTCTCCAACTGCAGTTAAACAGACTCTTTAAACATTAAGTATTCTGTCAACAGCGTTTCACAAAAGGATTGCATATAACACAAGGACAGGAATGGCGTCTCTTACAATCACCATCTACAAAATGATGTATATGCTATTGGGGTAAGTTAAAGTTCAAATGCATGATTTTAAACATATTCATCTGATAGTTGCATTGTATGATTAATTACAATGTGACGTACTTTGATATATGTAACATACCTTTCCCTGGAGGTCAGCAATGGTGGCCTCAAAAGCTGAGTAGTCACGGGTAATGGGGGAGGTCTTACTCTCCAAGAACTGGCGGATCCTGAGCTCCAGCTCAGCATTGGCCTTCTCAAGGGTGCGCACCTTCTCCAGGTAGGAGGCCAGACGGTCGTTCAGGTTCTGCATGGTGGCCTTCTCATTGGCTCCAACATCAAAGTTATTGCCTCCACCATAGCCTGCACCCCCTCCCATGCCAAAACTGTAACCGCCGCCTGCACCACCTCCACCACCTCCACTGCCGAAGCCGCCATAACCACCAGTGGCAACAGAGATTTTTGATCCACTGCCACCTGCGCCGCCATACACACTTGAAGCATATGCCTTTCGCACCATGCCTCCACCCCCACCATAACCTCCTGCCATGGCTCCACCAAATCCTCCACCATATCCTCCACCTCCACTACTGAAGCGTCCAGAAGAACTGCTGATGGTATTCATTCTGAGGGAAGTCATTGTGAAGACTGCTCAGGAGGTCTGACTGCCTTGGAGAGAATGAGATGGGCTGAGATGCACAGATCTGCCTCTGTCCCCCTTTTATCCTGCACAAGGCTGCTGGTACTGCCTCTAGTGTGGGTGGGGCTGTGCAGGACTGAAGGGAGGAGAATTACCTAAAATGGTTGCTCTGCCCAACCCAACATGCACACACTCTTCCGGTCCATTTTGGTAACGATCAGAAGGAGAAGGTGGGATTAAACTTAATCCTATTTTGTGAGGCAATTTACGAAGTTCATTTAAATCCCATAGCTACCTACAAAGCATAATGGCTTCATTATTACGTTCATCCTTTATTCCTGTGCTCCATATCAATGTGCATGAAGACAGGGCATCCGTGTGGACTTTCATCTTTTATTCCGACAAAGTATACTGTGAATTATAAAATCAGCCACACCTGTTACTGTTGGCCTCAGGTTAGTTATTGAGTCATATCCCCCAGGTTTTCAACTTCAGTGACACATGATGTCTTTATTGAATCTGTGCCATACTCCTTGAGCAAGACAGACATACCGTGCTGGCCAAACCTGTTACATTGCTGAGGCAACAAGTAATATAAACACTGTAAAATGGATGAGTATAATTGACACGTTTGTCTCTTCTCTTTCTTTTTGTTATCTTGCATGAGAATCATCTTTTTAAGTATCGGTTATTTTGTTGTTCATAGTCCTAGTTATTTATCACATCTTAATCTTACATTCCCTTTTGTTTTGCTAAACAACATCCTGCAGAGTTGCCAGTTAGACATCACTCATGATGTCAATCAATACCTGGCTTCATTCAAGACTGGGCACAGCACTAGAAAGCTCACTACGGATGTGCCTGCATGTTCTTTATTTTTCTTGGCATTGTGCTTTGGCATGTGCATCATGCCCAAACAAGAACAAGCGCTTGCTTGTTTGCTTCTTTCCATTTCACCACAGTATTTCTTTTACGATGTCCCAGAGGATTGTCCCGACTGTCTCACATGAAGCATGTGGAATGGTTGATTAAATTAAAGAATGCAGGCATTTAAACTTTTCCTTGCTTTTCCAGTGCAGATTCATTTCTCAAATGCTGACAATTAAAATAAAAATGCATGTATTATTTTAGAATTTTGCATGTGGTTTAATGTAACAAAGAGTTGTTTTACCTCTAACTAGCAAATGACTGTTACAAACTGCGCACACACTGTACGCAGCTTGGAGTAATACAAACCAGATGTTTCTTTTCACTGCTGCTTTTCATTTTGAGGTTGCAAACTCATCTCATGCATGTGCTACATAGCCATAAATAATGTCCAATATACTGATTGGTTTGAAACCCTGTGCAGTAATATATGAGTAAAGATATTTTTTTTTCTCTGGAGATAACATTTTCACACCATCATACCAACTTCTGGTGTGTACACACTGTGAAGTATAGCTCTGTACAGCTTATTTGCACTTCAGTCATTGTTTCACTGTTCCATTCAGAGATGTCTACACTCTTTCTTGTTTGCCTGCAACTAAGCAAATATTCCTGAGCAATACAAAGAAGTAAGCTCCATTGTCTCTAGACATTTTTAGTATTTCAAACAATTAGCTTGCAATCTCACTTTGCAAATATGTATCCTTTGTACTACCAGCAGAACCAAGTGATGGTGTAAATGTACGTAAACATCTGGCAACACAACACCACACAACAGAGTGCACAGTGTGATATTTGTGCAACCAGCCTTTCTATTAAAGAATAATATAAGGGTGTGACACTGGTGAAAAGGTTTAAATAGAGCATGTAATTACAAAGCCCTCTGGTTAAGTTAGTTTATGTAAAGTTTACTGTGGTATCAGAAGTAACAGAGCAATTGTCAATGACATGTTAATGTGTGAGATTTCAGACACACATTTCTGTGAAAAACATGCTTCACCTTGATAAACGAGTGCATAGGACTCACTAAAACTTGTGTGTATTCTGTAGACAATATGGAATATGATACAACTTGCACATCACTAAATCACTTTAGTAATAAAAACGAAATACTTTAAAAATACATTTTAATCGCAATGGCTGTTCAGAAATGATGCAAAGCATGAATCATGAGTCAATTTTCTTCAGGCGGTAGGCACATACTATCAGAGAGATGCTTTGCAGGTCAAATAAGGTAAAGTTGGAGGATGTGACCAGGGGTGTAGACAGGATTGAGTTGCAAAAAGAGAATTTTTCAGAAATTAAATTCATGCTGTTGCGGAAAAAAACTAATGCTCAGCATGTTACCATTCGAGGTCTGAAATAAATAAATAAATAAATTAGTAGTATGCAACATTTTGCATTAGAACATGCCAACATCAGCATGTTTTAATGCTTACTGTTTAGCATGTTAGTGAAGTTAACACATTAACACAGTTTTCAGGTCAAAGAATGGAAGTGTCAGGGTCAACCACTTTAGTCTAAACTGAAACATCTCAACAACTATTAGATGGATTGCCGTGACATTATTCATGGTCCTCAGAGGATGAATCCTAATGACTTTGTTGAATTATTATTATTGTCACTGTTTTTATTTACTCTCTTAGAAGAAAGATATTACTGAAATGATATGTGCTACTGCAATTAATTGACTTTTTTTTTTTTTTTTTTTTTTTTTAAATACACATTAAAATCACAAAAAATGTCTTTTTAGGCTGCAGTGGTCTAGAGGTAGAGTGGACTTAAATTACCCAATGCTTGGGGTGCCACTGAGCACTCTTACTCTCTCTGCTGCTCTACGGAGCTGCTCAGCAGCCTCAAAGTCAAGCAGGGCATTGTTGCTGAATAAGAACATTTACAAGACTGCATATACGAGTGAATAATATTGCTTTTAATGTTTTCATTCGCCTGCTCTCCATTCATATTAAGATTTCCCTGCTTCAGGATTGTTTTAATACTGTTACCCGTGTTCCTTATTCCCATACAGATTGCATCTCTTTGTCAATATGCTTCCTTGGTGTTATCAACCTATACCGCATATATCAAATAGATTTTATTAATCAGAAAACAAAATGAAGGTTTTAAGTGTTAATACACTATGCACACTTTTCTGCTCTCACTAAAAGAAAGGACAAGTTGTGGTTAATGTGTGAGTGATTAATAGTGATGGTATGTGTGGCGGCAGGGCAAGGTGTGACTGTGGTTGTGTGAATGTGGGAAACAAAGCATGATTGAGGTATGCATGCTTTTAATTGAGAGACTCCTGCAAACAGGTATATAATCCATTCACTAAAATATTTTTTTTAGCTTTTCAGAGGATAAGGTTAAAATATATTTAAACGTCACTGCGGACTAATTGATTTATACCCTGTATCTAGTGGGTGACAATCTGCTATGCGGCGCACATGTGTGGGAGCTGTAGTTGCAGTTCAACTTGCAGGGCTCTTGCAAAAAACCATATCAGTCATCGCCATAACTCTTTTGTCACATTTATGTTGTCACACACCCCATCCACTTTTCATGTAAACGGGAATGACTTCTCAGAATGCAAAAGCCTCATTCAAGTCTGAGTACGAAGTGCCTTCCTGACACAGATAACCACAGCTTGCGTTAAAAACTGGAACAGTATGTTCAAAATGTGTTGTGACATGAAAAATAGCGTGCAGTGTTTTTACCTAGGTGTTCAACTCTCATTTATGAGCTAATATAAAATAGTTTCTCACTTTCTCATTTTGGAGAGAGAGCGATGGCTGCAGTGACTCACTGTTAGATCAGGTGTTTTTTGACAATGCTCCTCTGTCTTTGTATTTTTTTCTTTACTCTATTTCAGGCCCAGACTGGTTTCTGTTGTATCTTGCTATGCTCTGCAGGTATGGGCCACACCCTTTACTGCTAGCCTGATGGAAATTTACAGTAGAAAATTCTGGACTTTGGACTGAGCAGTGGGAGATTCACCTTATCTTTAGCAAGTTTATATTAGCAAGATATAAAAGTAACCGATATATTAAATCAACAATTTCATCGTCTCTTTGATACTGTGAGTCAACTGAACTGAATTAAGATCCCATGTGCACAAAATTCAGCACTGCGTTTTGTTAATAATAGAGATAATTTAGGTCAGATGAGGGAAAACCTAATTGAATCATTGATTTTAATCATGTGATGCACACAACCATGAAGTAACACAACCTACTGTGCTTTCTCTTACTTTCAATCAAATATCTACAGAGGAGATCTCACTCCCTAGGGAAACCTTTTACTTTTACAATTAGGCATGAAGTTTGACACCAGGAGGGCGAATTCAACGGACGGATTTCAGTTTAAAATGGGACTTTCTGTGTGTGTGTTATGTGCTGATGTTTGAATGAAGATCTCAAGGTTCCAACAATGGTGCACACTTCTGTCTTGTCTAGTCATGCAGAATAATTACATTTATAAGGTCTAGACAGTGAGGCAAATGATTCCAGGTCTCTTTGCCTCAACTTGATATTTCACTGCACAAAGCTGCTGAAAAAGTAAATCATATTTCAGGGCTGCTAATAACATTTAATAACACTGATGATGAACAGCAATAATGTGTTAAGGTGCAGCCAGGTCCAGGACAAAAGCAGAGAAAGGAGGGGAGTCTTAAATGTTGAGTCATTTTGACCAATGGATTAAGTGATTGCAGGTGAATCACTGATGTTTTGATGGCGAGCTCAAGTCTCCACTTGATTTACCTCCACCCAAATGAAACCAATGGTGACTCAAGGGTGAGTGTTAACCTCACTGAACCAAATCTATACTTTAAAACAACTGGATAAAAAAAGCTTTTCTTGCTTGCAAACATATTCAGTATCACTCATGTATGATTGTGTGCTACTTGCTCACCATTATTGTCTATTGTCCATTGTCAGTAAGTTAAAAATAATCATGTTTCTAAATGTATCTTGCCCAGCAACAATCTGTTTCCACTTTAGCTAAATAAGGTCACCCAATCCACTGAAACCGTGCTGAGAGATGACTTTTAGAGAAAGAGATAGTGTGACACCTGGTGGTCATGAGTAAAATTACAGTCTAACATGGTACTTGCAACCAATGTCAGAAAATGCTTTATTTTACTGTATTCTTATTACTTTTGCCAGAGTATCTGCACAGGTTTCAATCTCTTTGTATGACCTAAACCTACTTGAATCTTCACCCTTTTACATTTCCTGTGTTATTTGTATGGCCAAACAGTGATGTCTTTGACGTCAAAGTCATGCTATGATTGTATTTTACCAATGAAAAATCTATGTACAAATTATAATCCACCTTTCTAAATTGTAACACAGATTTGTGATTAGAATAGAAGAATTAGAATACACATTTTCATCTTTGCTTTCTGGCTTTTAATCATATTTTGGTCTCATTCTTATCACATGCTGCAACCTTTCTATATAATTTTCAATCAAAAGAAAAAGACAAGGCCAAGGTTTCCCCTAAAAAGCAAACATTAAAGTGATTTGTCATGTATCTGGTTGACGTTAACAGCTGATCATTAAATCTGCAGTAGGTAACACATTCATATTTGCTGAAACTGTCACTATAGCCAGACAGTGGTACATGCGGCAGATAAAAACAACATGGTTGATTGTTGAGTCTCATTCCCAGCTTCAGTATTCGATAACCTGGGAATAAGACTCAACAATCAAGTATCTTTTTTGGCTCTGTTTGTTGTTTTTGTTCAGGCCCGGAAGATTCTTGCAAATGCCATTAGGAGCATTGAGAGGAGCCAGAGGAATCTGTCTTGTGTACTGCTGTCAGGATATAGTGAAAGTTTCAGCAAATATGATAAAAAGTTATTTCTATTAGAGTTAACTACTGCAGCTTTAAGTAGGAATTATACAGGTCAATTTAGGGGTCAAATCAAAGTAAAACTTTATTTTAGTGGCAGCATAAGTGTTACTGAATGTCCTGTACTTGGGTGTCAACACTGGAGGACACCACCTTTCCATCAACAATCTCCTCCACAATGGTCTTCACCCTCCTCTCGATGTGGGGTTTATGCTCTGCAGAGGTGGAGAACAAACATGATGCATCATGTGATTACAGCGAGGAAGGAGCTTAATTTAAAGTTGTTGTAGTGAATGATTGGGAATCTTACCTTCCACTTCCACAACCTTGCTGATGATCACAGCCCTACGGAGAGATCATTTTAAAACATATTTTATTGCTTCAGCTGTTGGCCAACTACTTTGACTTTAAAACGTAAAAGGAAGAAATGAAATACTTTAATTCCTCACTTTGCTTGTTCGTATCCCCTCTCACGCAGCTCTCCATCCAGCAGCCTCCTGTACTCTGCAATCTCCAGTTCTAGCCTCATCTTGATGTCCAGCAGTACTTTGTACTCGGCTTGCTGCTGCTCGATGGAGACTCTCAGCTGCTGCAGCTCTAACTCCAGCGAGTTGATGTTAATCTGCAGCTGGCTGAGCTGGACGCTGTATCGACTCTTGACTTCTTCCACATTCTGCTGTAGGCACTGAATCTGCAGGACAGATGGGTATAATGTCAGGAAAGCTGTGTGTGTGATTGGAGAAAGGAATTGTCCCTATCTGCCTGACTGGGAATTATAGTTACAGTTGCTTAAAATAATAGTTAAAGCCATTTTCGCTTGGTGTGATTAGTCCTCCTGTTCATACTGGTCATTAAAACATAATGTGCTTTAAATTGAGTGGGGGATGACAAAAATTCACTGTGGAAAAATACATTCCAAAGAGAGAATACGGGCGGGGTGGATTTTGTCCTTCATCACTTACATTGAAAGTGCAGTAGGAAAGAATATTGTAATGGCCCTTATGATAAGGAAAAAAATGTGCATCTACCCTTTAATCGAAGTGTTATCAGCCAACTGTACACAGTGAAAGAGTGCTTCCTGTCATTTCATCAATGGCCTACCTCTGTGTGGACGCTTTGGCGACTTATCTCCAAACTCTGGTAAGTCCTCTTCAGCTCCGACAGCTCTGTGTAATACGTCTTCACTTCAGTTGAACATGTAAGGATTTGCGTCTGGAGAATTTCCACCTTTTCACACACACACACACACACACACACACACACACACACACACACACACACACACACACACAATAAATTCCATGAGATTCCCATTTGTAAATCTTGACATTATAGTTTATACTCTCGTGGTTTTTACATTTTCAGGCATGTTGTTCTCCCATCTCACCTTAGATTTAAACCATCTCTCGAGCTCCAGCTTGTTCTTGTCCACCACAGCCTCATACTGTTGCCTCATTTCCTCCAGGACCTTTGTCAGATCAACAGACTCTGCGCTGTCCACCTCTACATTAACTGTGCCACTCTGCTGGACCCTCAGCAGATGCATCTCCTGCAACATGACAAAGGGATACATTTTAATCTCCTGCCACCTCCAAAAGATGGCGCCCTTGTACTAAAACCATTGACAGTATATATCCCAGTTTCTCAAACCCCAGCAGATAAAGACTGGTTTAGAACTCCTACCTACAATACACAAACCTTTTGCACTATTTATATTTAATTTCCACTTTAGTAGTTTAGTAGTTTTAGTTTAGTTTTAGTTTTTTAGTTTTAGTCAAGTTTAATTTTCTGCTCATATTTTGGACTCTTATCTTACTATATATGATACTGAGCCATCCTGCTTTTCAATCATTCAATGTCTTCAAACTCTTTTTTATCACAAATTATGTTTTTAAAATGACAGCAGAGAAATTCCTCTGGAGTTCTCACCTCCTTGTGGTTCTTCTTCATGTACACCAGTTCATCTTTCAGACCTTCTATCTGCGCCTCCAGGTCAGCAATGCTGAGAGTCATGCTGTCCCGGACCCCTCGGAGACGAAACACATCAGCCTCCACATTCGTACGCATGTTCAGCTCCGTCTCATATCTACAGAGGGAGGCCAGGTGTAGTTGTAATTAAATTGAATGAGTGAAAGGAAAAATGTGACCTTTCGACTACATCTACTGTCTGTGTACTTGTGTCCAACAGGTGTAAATGTTACTCCAGTCATAAAATGAACCATTATTTTTGACAAAATGACTGGAGTGTGCGTGTGGATTTCAGCATGAAGCAACAGAGGAACGTAAACCTACTTAATTTTAAAGTCCTCTGCAGCCAGCTGAGCATTGTCAATCTGCAGAATGACTCTTTGATTCTCTGAACGTTTCATGAGGATCTAAAGGAGAGAAAAAAAACATTGTCTCTTTTTATTCACATTTTCTTGTTTTATTGGACAGACTCATCAGTACATGTGTACTTATTTTTATACAGTAAATATGACAGGATATATTTCAAAAACTCAATTTCTGCAGTAAGTTTCAACTGAAAGCCAATATAATGATTCAGTTTTAGTTCAAACCCACAGTTTATACAGCACTGAGGGAATATGTAGCTATTTTATGAATGATCTTTTAGTTCTTTCGTTTTGTTATTTTTTGATGGATTGTGAATTTATCCATATAGCATTAAATCTGCACATGGCCAAATTAACCTGTTTGGGAGCACTAGGTTCAAAATGTGCTCTTATGCCCCTGTTGATCATCATCACAGTTGCCCGGTTACATATGCACATTAAACACTAGATGTATATGTCTAAAACAATAAATCAGTCACAGTGTGACAAACACAACTCAGCTCAAGCTGCACCAAAGCTGTAAAAATCAGAAATATTTGAAATGACAAAGAAAGATAAAGTTTTAACCACTGTAAAATAGTTGGTTGCATCTTTGTTTGCACACCAAAAATATGCTGTCTTGTTTATTGTATTGTAAAATGTGAGCGGTACCTGAGCTTGGAGATCACTGATGGTGGCGAAGTAGACAGCGAAGTCTCTGGAAACAGTAGGAGATCTCTTCTCAAAGAACTCTCTGATCTGCTGCTCCAGCTTCCTGTTGGCTGCCTCCAGGGAGCGCACCTGCACACACAACCAGAGGGTGATATCACACAATGACAGGAGACAAATGAGAGACATCACATTTATAAAGCACTTTAGTTCTGGCTCATAACTCCTGGCTGGCATGTGGAAGCATTTTTTTGGTGTGCTAAGCCAAAAAAATCTCTTCTTAGCCCTAAGAGTAAATGTTGACAGTTGACGTTACGTTAGCTGTATGTTAAGGAGATAGTGGATCATATTGTTAGTGACTGGTAAATCTAGATTATCTATTTTCCTGGCGGGTTAATTCACATATTCATTTGTTATCATTGTTTTGACTGTTATAGAACACACACATACATTACGTCTACTTTACCTTCCTTTAATAAAGTCTACTGACTTCCTGTCTGACCTGCTTCTTTGTCTGTGATGGAGGAAGTTTTCAAATCCTTTACTTATGTTAAAGTTATGTGAGAATAACAACAAAGAAAATATGCTTAAAGTATCAACAGTAAAAATACTCTTTGCGCAGCAGAGAGCTCTCAAGTTTATTATTATAGGCTACATAGTATAAGGCCTGTTGCATTACGTAATATCACTGATGCATTCATGTGTAAGAAGCATTTTAAAGTCAAGATGCAACTAGGGCTGGGCGATAAATCGATTTTATCGATTAATTCAAATTTGTAGTTAAACACGATTTATTTTTAGTTAAAATCGGTTCTCTCTTGAACATCCACAACACCGGCGCTCCCTTTGGGCTCCCGTAGGTCAGAGTGCGCTGACCCCTCTCCCCACCTCTCCACAGATAAACACAACATGGCAGCAAGCCAGGATGAGCTCGTCCCCAAAAAAGCCACAGTGTCGTCGGTTGTTTGGATTTTGTGGCGTCCGACAGCGAACAAACCACGAGCCACTGCAAAGTTTGAAAGCTGTTGCAACCAAAGGTAGCAGTACGAGCAATTTATTCCAGCACCTCAAGCAGAGGCATGCAGCCGAGTGGGAGAAATGTTGCTCTCTGCGAGATATACAGGACCACAGCCCACAAACACCCGCTAAAAAACAGTCTACAAAAAAATCGATTAAAATCGTAAATCGGGTTTGGTGTGAAAATATTGGAGATTTTATTTTTAAGCCATATCGCCCAGCCCTAGATGCAACAATCATTTATACTAATTATAGAGCCAAACCACAGTCCCAATTCTGTGTAAAAATGTATTCAAAAGATTATCTTAAGTTACTATGAGCATTTAACTTCCGATAAAACTTCAATATATTTTTACACGGAACTGTGGATCACTTGCATTGAGAGTGCATTAGAAAGGGATCTTTTAACGAGCAGTGTGAACACCTGTTTTGATGTTCATATGAGCACCTGACTTTCTTTCTTTTTTTATATTTTTGAACCTGTGCGTCCCTGTGTGCATGCAAGGTATGAATGTGTGTGTTAGAGAAAGCCTATAATGTGCATTTATCAGGTTTTATGATGAGAGACTGCCCATTAAAATGTCTTACCACTCATTTCATGCAGTTTAAAAATATCAGTTTTTCAGAGGTTTGTTTAGCAGTTTGACCATCATCATATTCATCATGGTTTACCTTCTCCAGGTAGGTGGCCAGGCGGTCGTTGAGGTTCTGCATGGTCCCCTTCTCGTTGCCGATCACTCCACTATCGCCGTACGGGGTCAGTGACCCGGCAGAGAAGAAAGACTGGCCCTGAGAGATGCGCGTCCCGAAGCCCCCCGCGCCCCCGTACACGCTGGGCGCACGGGTCTGGAAGGCCCCGGTGGAGATGCGGGTCTGGCCGGAGCCCACCAGCTGCAACCCTCCGCTCATGCCGATAGCGCTGGCGCTGGAGATGCTGCGGGAGCTGCTGATGCTGCGGGAGCTGAAGCTGCTGTTTTGGCGGCTGAGTTGGACAGACATGGTGAGAGCTGGAGCTGGAGCTGGAGCTGACCTGCAGGTGATGAGCAGAGGTGGAGAGTCTCCGAGGAGTACCGCTGCCGGAGACAACTGGGCATTTTATAGAGACTCTGGGAGAGGGAGACACTGTCTGGCCCCGTGCCACAATGTGTGGTATGCAGATAGCCTAATGTTTTTAGGTGTGTACAGTAGCTAGTGCTGGTCTATGAAAGACACGTTGAATATCTAGTCTGACAGCTTGATGGCTGCCTAATTGATATGAATCCATAAAGATAATTGTTTTTTTTCTTCTCCGCAGTCAGTCATACTTATCCTGTAGCAGATTAGAATGACACTTATCACGTTGAACATCAGCTCAGGTAGTTCTAACCGGGAACAGTGCATTGCCTCTAGAATTTGAGATCATTCATTTAAAGCAGATTTATAAGAAATAAAATGAAACCTTACTAAATTTACCACATCCAGCCTGATTTGGTCTGGTATGACCAGTCTCTTATATATGTTAGCAAATGTAATAAAGAAATGTATATATATGTTTCTGTGTCACTGACATTACTGAGTCAGTTATCTGACTTTATGACTCTTTTTATGCAACTATTATTTGAACATTTACAATTATCATTTAAAGGACCAGTGTGTAGGATTTAGTGGCCACTGGGTAGCTGTGGTTCAGGAGGTAAAGTCAACTAATGAGGTTGGCGGGTCGACCCTGCTCCTCCAGGATGCATGTGGGAGTGTCCTTGAATAAGATTCTGCACCCTCTGATGCCGGGCCATCGGTGTATGAATGTGTGTGAACAGATGAATGTGACATGTAATGTTTCTCGGTTTGAGAAAAGAAAGTGAAGGTGTCATCATTTTGTTTATTTATCACTGCGGATTGCAACCAACTTCATTCCCCTCGCCACACCCAAAAGGCCCTTGCTAGAGCCTGTGTTTGGTTTATCCATTCTGGGCTGCTGCAGAAACACAGATAGATCCTCCTAAATGTTACACGCTGGACCTTTAATTGTCACTTGTGTCCACAGTGGCTGCTGCTCAGCTAGAGCCAAAGGGTTTTATAACACATATGTCGAAGAAACCTCTGAAAGGATGGCCTGGGAAATCAAGACGCTCTTTTAACCACAAACTGGTTCTCAATGTTTTTTTTAGAACGACTAAAGATAGTTCTTTTCCAGCGAAGCAAAGGGAGTGGGCAAAACACTTAATGACATAATGGATCATTTAGTAACTATGTCTCTAAACAAGAACTCAATGCCTGACCCCAACACACACACACACACACACACACACACAAAACTGGCACTCCTTATCGCTTATCTAACGTGGTCAGATTAAAACATCCTCACATGATTGACACAAGAATCTAAAAGCCATCTCAATCCACTGTGGGCCGCACCCATAGGGGAAAGTGACAGATAACACTTTGCACGCCACTGGTTTGTGGCAGCAGCTCCTACACACGTACATATTAAAGACCATTAGATTAAAAAAAGTACTCTGTTGCAGATACATAGGATAATTTTGTTTTAATGTGAAGCTTTATTAATAAAATATCAGACATAACTTTTTTTTAATATATTGCTTTATTGTGTACTTTTTGGGACATGATCCAGAACAACAAAATGAAAGTTAGACCAGAGATGTAAGCAGCTCCACTGATATTGAAGAAATTGTTGTTTTACTGACACCACTACACAACTACGATTTTATTCATACTGAAAGTAAAATACTCAATGTAACCTTTCACTTGCCTTACAAGTCCTGCAGCTTAAAATAAAAAAAGAATCTTGAAGTTGACAACTGAACATCTGTGAAAATAAACAAAAGCCGTGATGAGCATCTGCTGATAAAGTGTGAATCTGACCTGAGCGACAGGCTAAGGAACAAGCTGTCTGTCGCAGTTATGTGGAGTCTGGAACTTTATCAGATTTCACTGGTGGGTGTGTGTCGCTCTAGTGAAAGCATTAATGTCAAATCTTATGACATGTGATTGTCTTTATGAGGCATATGAGAATGGCGGAAGCCAACAAGTAACATTCCATTAAGATCATATCTCTGGCTTAGTTTGTGGTAACGCTTGTAAGATTTACTCATTAGTCAGAACAACCTGAGGTGAATGTATGCATGTGGATTCTCTGCTTTCCATTGTCCTGCTGTCACTTCCCCTCATAGCACTTCATGTTGTATTAATGTAGCACATAGAGTACATCAGTACAACAGCTAAAAGATGATGCTTTATAATATTTTCAGGCTGCATTCAATTTGCTTCTGCTCTTCAACATACATCACACATTGTACCCTATTACCCCACTAGAACACTACGTTCTCTGAATGCTGGGCTACTTGTGGTTCCTATAGTCTCTAAAAGTAGAACAGGAGCCAGAGCCTTCAGTTACCAAGCTCCTCTCCTGTGGAACCAGCTTCCAGTTGTGGTTCGGGAGGCAGACACCCTCACCACATTCAAGAGTAGGCTTAAGACATTCCTCTTTGATAAAGCTTATAGTTAGGGCTGGATCAGGTGAGTCCTGAACCATCCCTTAGTTATGCTGCTATAGGCCTAGACTATCGGGGGATTTCCCATGGTGCACTGAGCTACTCTCTTCCTCTCTCTTTCTGCACTCATTCATGTCCCTTTAATGCATGTTACTAACTCCACTTCTTCCCCGGAGTTCTTGTGCTTTCTCGTCTCGCAGGTTCTCATGGATCCTGGTGGAGCCTCCTGCCATGGTCCTGCTTGACTGCCATTGCCAATACTGTTGTTGCTGTGCACCTGTCTGTCTGTCTGTCGCTCTCTCTCTCTCTCTCTCTCTCTCACCCCAACTGGTCGAGACAGACGACCACCCACCTAGAGCCGGAGGATCTGTCCTAGGTTTCTGCCTTTTAACAGGCAGTTTTCCTTGCCCTTGTCGCCAAGTGCTTGCTCATGGTGGTACTGTTGGGTCTCTGTAATTAATGTTAAAGAGTTCGGTCTAGACCTGCTCTATTTGAAAAGTGTCCTGAGATAACTTCTGTTATGAATTGGCGCTATACAAATAAAAAATTGAATTGAATTGAAATTGTCAGTGGAAAATGGACACACGGTAACTGGCCCCAAATCTATACAGTATGCAAACAGTGTTAATGTCGACCACACATTGTAGTATTTTTACTGAAAGGGTAGAGAGTACGTCATCTGGAAAGTCCGAGCCACACCATGACATGAAGGCAATAATCACCTCCAACCAATCATTAAATTAGACACACCAGGCTTTTTTTCTTTCTTTTCAAATATGATCCACCGTTGCCTTTTTAAAATATAAAGTGAAAAACTGTTTCAGCCCAGCCAGTGCTGAAATTAAGGCACAGATGGAAAAATAATTATTGTGTCTTTGTCTTGTTCCAACATGTGTGAACTGTAATAGTAACTGCTTAGAGGGGATATATCTGATTCAAGGAAGCCAGTGTTCAAAGCCTTGAAGTCTTCCAGCCAGTGGCTACATAGTTACACCAGATCCTCTGTGCTGGTCTCTAAAGGAGTATTGAATTTCTTATGTAAACACATTGACTCGTTTTATTGTTATTGCAGTGCAAAAAAGGCCTTTCCAGGTAAGTGAAAAGTATAATAATGGGTTTGTAGATGTATCAGTCCATCGTTTCCTCTACGCACATCCTCCCAGTGCATCTGTCTACCAATCAATCAGTGAGCACTGTTATCTGTCTTTGATTTTAGGCCATATTGCTCACACCAAACTTGTGGTATAAAAGAGTCAATCTGTTCAGTGTGCACCACAAGCATCAGACCTGCTGGATTTTGTTGTGCACGCATTTCATCTTCATACAGGTAACAGGTGACTTCTTTCATTCAGCTGTCAATAGAATTATTTTGAGTAAGTTGTAACTTTTTTTCCTTCTTGTTCACAGACATGTCAGGGAAAGTTATTGTGGGGTTTGCACTGTTGGTTGCGCTGCTAGTATCTGCTGCAGCATCCACACCTGTCGAGGCTAAAGAGACTAATGTGCTGCAGCAGCTTCTAGCCAAGAGGGAGAAAATGACAGACTTGGCTGGCAGACAGGAGCTGGCGCCTCAGGCTCACTCTGCGGCACGGTTGGAGAGACGGGCACACCTATCGGAGGATGAACGCGAGATTGTGACTAAACAAATAATGCAAGCAATTTCAGGTATGCTTTTTGCTCGGGGTGTGAAAGTTCTTCTCTGATTGTTTTGTTTAGCTTGAGTCAATTAGATAAAACAGTGAGGGAGGGAGGGAGGGAGGGCTCCACAAAGATGCCTGAATATGTTCACTGAAGCCTTGTGTGTGGTTCATGTAGGAATGGTTTGTTCACAGAGATGATGAACTCCGAGTGCATGTCAGACCGGGACTACCAGGGCTGGGTGGACTTCGGACGGCGGGACACAGAGTGAGACACAACAATGCCAAAAGCAAACTGAGAGGGCAGACTAAACTGCTTTTTGTTCAGATTTTATACAAAGTCAATGTTTTAATTTCCCTACAACTTTATAAATAAACATTTATTTGCAGAATTATCACAAGAGTCACGTGTGTTCTTTCATCGTGGCAGTAAGAGGGACATACTAAACTGCACTGATGGAAATGCAAAGTTTTATTCACAGGTGGTAAAATGTATACACACACTGACATAATACAGAGCTGTGATGCTAACACAGAAAAAACAGTAGTGCAGAGAAACAGTGGTTTGGTTTATTTAAGCCAAAACACAAATTATTACAACCTGTGTTTATGATTTCTTCCCTTTTTAATCCACAGTATCCTATGCCTTTTTGCTACAGCTGATTGTTTAGAAAGATTTCAAAGAAACATTCTGTTTAAACACTCTACTACTAGTCTTTAAATTACCCTTAACGCCACAGGAGAATTCACTTTGAATAGTTTGGATTTCATTTATGTTCCAGCAATTTCAAAATTCCTGATGATGTGAAATACAGCAGATTTGTACAAGCAAGATATTCAGTCAACGCAGTACAGTAAATATACACATTGTTTCATTGTCTTTGTTGCACCTGATTTGTTTTTGGTGAAAGGTTTGGCTCAGGATAAAGTCCACGCGGTCAGAAGCAGCTCACAGGTGGTGCTGTACAGCATGCAACCATAACACCGTGTTCTATGTGAAAGCAGGTGATGAACTGTAGGGCAGACAGCTAGAGGATGTCAACATTATCAACATTTTTCAGCTCAGTCATTGTGTCTTCTGTCCCTGTTTGGAGCAGATACCATTGCAATACTTCTTGATCAATTTCAGTGTTTCATTCAGTATATTTGACAATCTTATATACAACATGCTTTTCTCAATGTAGCAGCTAATAAGCAGGAAGACCAGAGTGTATTTTAGTGCATTACAAGGTTCTCCAGTGTGACAGCAGTGGTTTGGTTTGTGGTTTCAGCTAACAATAATTTACTGTCTTTTTTTTTTACTTTCCCAAATGACAACTTTGTTATATACACACAATGTAAGTGATGTTCTACTTTGGAAACAAAAAAAAGGACAGGTGATGAGGTTTTTGTAAAACCGATGGCAGGGAAAATGTGTAAAATGACAATCACAAAACACAGTATAAAAATATGTTTTTCTTCATGATGTTTCTTTTTTGAGTAAAAAGAAGGTCTTTCTGCAGTCATACAGACTGGTGAACAGGTGATTGTCCTGAGATGAAGATGTCACGCACACAACACACACACACAACTACTGTACACAAACTCATAGAAAAGAATATTACTGTACACTACAGACAACTTATATGGCTCTAGCACATTCTGTGGCTTTTGTTTTCAGGACCCCAGAGCTGTGGTGCCCTGAACTGCACAGTGGGAATCACATGGCTGGATGCAAAGTCACTATGGTGAATGAGAGAGGAGTTAAGTGGTGACCGGCCCTCATCAGACTTTCAGAGCATGTGCGACTGCTTCTCTCTCGCCGCTTCATTGCGGCCCGTCATCCCCCAGGCCGCCACTCTGTACAACCCCAGACGCTGAAGCTTCTCCACCAAATTCAAACTGAAAATGTTCCCTCGCCCCGCTTTGTCCAATGATGAGCCTCCACCATTGTCTTTTGCTGTGATGCGTGAAGGTTTTGTACTCAGGTTGTAATTTAAGGTGTGGTGGGGATAAGGAGAGGCTGAGATGCCGCGCTCTTGCAGCAGCTGCAGGAGTCCCAGTGATGAAGTGGTTACGTTTGTGGCGGTGGTGGTGGTGGTCCGGCTTCCCAGGCCAAAGTGCTGCTGGTGGGATGGCGATGAAGTGCTCACGAGCTCACAGTTCCGACAAGATGGCAGGCCGAAAGAGTGAAGGCTGTCAATGGAAAAAAAATAACAATTAAAAACAAAAATAAAACATAGCAGATAGAAGAAAACTAAACTCTTTCTTTCTGCACAAACATGCAAGTTCATACCCAAATTGTGAAAAAAACAAGACAATTTAAACAGTTTCAGTTATTTCACTTGTTGTTAGTGTGTCTATTGATGCTGTAACATGGATAAACATGTTAATGTGACAGTTGTTATAAAACAGGACCTGGTGGTTTGTTGAGATGTTAACCTAAAAAAGTCAAGAGACTTTAAAAACAGTGTAACAAGCCAAGAGTACGTGGGGAATGAAAACAAGTTAGAGCAGATGTAAGAGCTTAACAGCATTAAGTGTTAGTAGAAGGAGATGGGTGTGTATATTACAGAAGCACAGTGCATGGTTTTCCTTTGAAGTAGCTGTGAGCATTTCAGTTGGATCAGAGCAAATGTTTAACATCTCAGTCTCTGACGTTAAACCAAGGCTTAGCCAGAAAAGGCTTAATAAGTTATTTAAGGTGGGGTAGTTGATTCTGGAGAAAGATTATAATATAAAACGTCATCAAACAAACTGCATGCATGCACAAAAACTTAAAAACTAGAGAGTGTTAGTTGTTTATATTGTTATTACAAAACTACAGTGACCAGTGACAAGGCAGGTAACTTGTGTTTTTAGGTCTTTGTTGCTATAAAACCCTTCACAAACGTTGTTACGGACAAGTAGAGTGAACAACGACACAACAAGTAATGTGATGGAAATTACTAGGTAGTAGGTTTGCAAACTGTCGCTGCTGCTGCACAGTTAACGTGCAAAGTGGACGAGCATCTTCCCAGAGCCGGCACAGCTCCAGACAGCAATACTCACAACTCTCCTGCTACTAACATCACAATAACAGCTTATCTTGCCAAACTAGAAAGTAAGCTGTCTATGGGCAAGACATTTAACGTTACAAACAAATCCTGGCTCAAATAACAAGGAAGTACTCTGTGGCTTGGTCTGATCCACTTTGTTACCCATTTACAGAGCCAGAGCTGAGTGCAAACACTGGATTTTCTTTCAGCGCACACACAGAGCAGAAAGCTTGTGGACACTGAGGAGATATTTGCTAAATTTGTTTTGGGTTAGAATCGTTGACCCCACCTTTAACCTTGATGTTATTTAGTCAAACAAACATGGCACTGTGCCTCCGTCATTAAATGATGAAATCCAGCATTAATGGCGAGCCCGCAACCATCAACTCTTACTTTGCCTTTTCTCCTTTTAGAGTTGGAGAAAGAGCCTCGACAGACGTTTTCTGCCACTGTGGGCGTAAAGAGCAGAGGTTAAGGGGTAGAAAAAGCAGCGTGAAAGAGAGGAAATCTGGAAGATCCACACTTATTGAATGAAAGTGACACTGCAAAAACAAAAGAGGATTAATGAACATAGAAAAAAATAATTCAGCAGCTCCTTGTTCAGGGTTTTACAGTAACTCAGGTCCATCAAAACCACACAAAATCAAGTTCAAGCTCATATTTAACTTTATTATCCTGTGAAAAATACACAAATACATCAAAACATGCTAAAAAAAAGACACCAAGGCACCAATACAGTACATTGTATGTTTACAGTATGTATATTCTTACCTAGTGGAGAAGGAAGGGATGAGAAGGGAGGGTTGGAGGACTTGGCAGGTGGTAATGGTATGTGTGGGAGAGGTCTGAGGGAGGTTGGGACCGGATGGAGAGACTGCGAGGTCATGGAGGGAGAAAAGGCAAGTTAAACTACATGAGGAGAATTACACTGAATGAGAAACTACAATAGCCAATGATGCTGGAAACTAAAGTAATACTAAACAATTAAAGGGACACGAAACAATATAAATTTGAATAAAAAGGAGGGGAGAAAGCAGGAAACGTGGATTTTTGAGAGCAAATGACAAAGCTAGTGGAAAGTGTGTAGCATGTGTACAGTGTGTTTACAAGTGTCCTACCCATGCCGTGTGCTCCAGAGAGGTGCGACAGGTCGGGTTCATCCTCCTCCAGGTCGTTCAGACTGTAGACGTGCTGTATGTCGACCTCGAGCTCCCTGAAGTCTTTAGTCAGGACGCCTGGACGTGGATGCAGGATGCCTCCCAGGTTTGGTTTGGCCAACTGCTGCCACTGGTGCAGAGTCACCGAGCCTGACGATGACAGAGTAACTTCAGCTGAGGGAAGTTCTGATATGATGGACTTTATTTATACTGTCATTTTTTTTAAACAAACTAACTTTAACAATCAGTTTTTTAGTAAAATGCATTGTGTGTCAAGCTGATGCTTTTACCTTCCAGAGGTTTGACGATCTGCAGGCGGTCGGGCAGGTAGGACCTGGATCCTCCTGAGGAGCCACAGGAGTGCCGTGAGCTGCCGTTGGAGTAGTTGGTGCCCGTCGATGCTGGTGGGCTCGAGGTCAGGCTGTCATTCGGTGTGAGGAAGCCACTGGAGCCCTCACCCTCCTCGCAGTTTGCTGCCAAGGCATGGAGTTTACGTTCACGTTCCACATCGAAGAAAGGCCGCTCAGAGGAGTGGTTCTGCTGGCGGGCTGACAGGCTGCGCAAGGCGGCTTCCAGGTCCTGGCCTCCCGGTGTGCCTGGCTGGCCCAGACGTTTTGGCCCACTATGGTGAATAGATGTAACAATGATTTAAAGAAAGAAATGACCCAAAAAAAGTCGTTTTAGATTCTAGTCAAGAAGGTTTTTGAAAATACCAAATGCGTTTATAAAATGATGACGATTTTACATTTGATATAATAGTGCAAGTATGTGCAAACACACCTGTTGTCTTCTTTCTGAGCATTATTGGAACTGGGCTTGTCCTCCAGAGTAAGGCTGGCATTGTCTGAACCATAGTAGCTGGTTCGGGGGGTGCTGGTACAACTGGAGCGAGTGGACACCGGGCTGGAGCCGGGCAGCCCCGGGGAGTGGCATCGAGACCGCAGCCTCACAGCCTTGTTAATCACCTTCACGGTTTCAAACACACGCCACGGGTGGTTCCTGCCAGGAGAAACAAGGCATGAGGGGCCATAAGAAGATTGCACAGAAAATACATCATTCATCTCAGCTGCAGACCTGAATAAAGGTTGTCCTGTGCAGGGGTGTCCATTCAGATCTGTTCCCTCTAAATTAATGGGTATAATGGTTCAAATTCTAACCCACTTCAGGGTTGGATTGAATCCATTAGCTCAAGTTCACATGCCCTCCAGGGATTCATTATGTTGTACTCCAATTAGAGAAATGGTTCTATGTTTTTTGGATCATTGGAGCTGGAGGAAAAAAGGCACCTTTGTTTAGTGTCTATGATCTAATCCTCAAAACACTGTTTGCACCACCTTTTAAAACATATATACATATACAACACTGAAAATTCATGACTTAATAATCAACAATCAGAGTCTAAAGAAAAATGACATCCTTCGGTGTTATCTAACAATCAAAACTATCTGCTTCATCAGGACTCTTTGGGTGTGGTTTGATCAGATTCGATTGACAGTTGCCTGGCAACATGAACACTCCAAAACTGTCAACATATTTTCATTCAAATGAACCCTAACCCTAAATCCTGATTGGTATGCTACAATGATTTTACTGAGCAGAGGCAAAAGAAATTTCTGAATTCTACAATGAACTATTCCTCAACAGGAAAATACAAACATAAAGAACAACACCCACTTTGACTCAAAGTGTTACATTCAGCTAACCTATCAACCACGCAGTACGCCTCAGTATCTTTATTCAGTTGACATGAAGGACCGAACCAAGAGAAGAAACCAGGTAAGATTTTCTCATCTGACCAAGATCAATCTCTAATGTTAATTCAGCAAGGCATGTATCTCACTTTTTCTAGTAGTCCTTTAAATTGTGACTAAACCTTATGAATTTATGTGAACATTTTGACCTGCTTTCAACCAATCCAAGAAAACACTGAGAAATACAATACACAGTCTAGATATAACCTTAACGTTATTTTAATTAGCATTAAATATACAAAACTGATTTCACAAATGTAACGTTAATAGGGTTTCTCTTTATATTGAATCATGAAATAAGTTAGTTCTTTAAACAAAAGGCTCTTTTCCTGTTTCTAGTTATTCCTAATTATTTGCATGAAAACATATTTTTTTAATATACTAACAAACTTACAAAGAACTGTTCTGTACCTACGAAAACATAATTTTAATCTCCAACAAATTAAAAATAAAATTAATAAGTTATATAAAAAATTTAAATTGTTGTCATGCTTAAAAAAAAACCTCTTTTTGAATCTATAGGAACAAATTATGAAATTTAGAGGACCTACAGGTGATCTGTTGGCAAAACTGATCAAGACAAACCGATCTCTTACTGTTCCATGATAATGTTACTAATACATGATAATACAACAAATATTTCATACACAAACAAACTAGCTCAGCTGAGAAAATTGTGCACGCGCCAATTTTCGAAAAGTTGACTATTAGTGAAAAGTTGCTCGATAAAATGAATTAATCATCAAACTTGCACTACAATTACTTCCAGCTCTTTAACGCAGACACTTTACACTGTAGCGTATGGCTGAATGAGTCTGAGTCCCTGTGATGGACTAGCTAGATTTTGTTGTCTTAAATGAGAAATAGCTCTTTATAGCTACAGTTTTTCTTCAGTGTAAAAGGCTGTTAGTGTGTGATTGTGATTTTAGCCTAACAGTACTCGTATATTTCTGTCTTAAGAGAAAGAAGCCTAATTATGCTGGCAAACATCGCAAGTCACGTGCTTGCAGTCCAGCTGCAGAAGCCAAAGTGATTGCACTTAGACAAGTCCTTCAATCAGTTCAGAAGACCAACCAGAGGCTGGTCTCCTTAAACACAAATCTGAGGAAGCAGGTTATGAAATTCACATTCATGGAGATGAGTTGGGTAAAGGAGAAGAGTAAACTCATGCAAGAAAACAGAGATATACAGAAGACACTTGGGACGAAATACATCCGCGCTAAACATGAAATCAACTGGTTGAACAAGGCTTTGAAGCGCACTACAATCTGGAAGGGAAAGGAAGGGAATGAAAGGCTTCAAGCTGCAGTTAAGAAGGCAGAGCAGGAAAGCTTGAGACTTAGAGAGTGTCAAGATACAAACAATGGCTTTTGCAAAGGAGACAAAAATCAGAATGAGGCAGGAAGAAGATGTACATCCTCAGAGACAGTGGAAAATAAATGTAAGACCTTGGGGGTCAAGCTCAACAGGAGGACAGAAACAAGGTATGTCAGTTCATTTTCATTTACACTCATTTTGCTTTGTTTTCAAACAACTTTATTATCAAAGATATTATCCGTCGATTGCCCAGTTCAGATATACTGTAGTTTGTTGTCTTCTTTTTTTTACAGGAGCATGACTGAAAAAAGAAGATCCTCGGCCCACTGTTCCTGTCCTTCGTCTTAGTTTTGAGCACAGCGGCCTCATAAGAAGTAAAATGACATTACTTTATGATGAAGTACTGTTCTCACCCTATCAAACACATTATAAAAATCACAAAATATTTTACTTAAAGCACTTTAAACATAAATTGGAAAATACAAGTACATCAGGATGAGTACCACCACTGGACTAAAAATATATTAAATGAAAAGAAAAATGATGAATGTATGTCACTCAATGCATTTTGCAGATATAAAGCTACAAGCACTGTTTTCTTCTTTTCTTAGTGCGATTTATATTTCTTAATTTATTCCTTAAATAATGTATGAGAACAAATCAATCTTTTAAACATCAGTCAGCTTGGATTTATGCCAGTTACAACAGGGGCGAGTTTTACAGTGGAAACATCAATGAAAACTTCTCAAACTAGTCCTGCAGCATAACCCATTTTCTGCTCCCCATCTGTATGTTCAGTAAAATATAAACAAATATTCCCTCCTGTGAAACACACAGGGGGTTTCAGACGAGGGAATATTTGTTGAGTGGGGGGTCTATTGCTATAAATGAGACACTGGAGGGTAGTGTCTTACTTTAAGGCATGGTAAAGGAAGGAGGGTAGAACTATCAAGGCATTATGCATCAGATGAGTCACATAAAGTAAATATCCTGCATTTTGTCATGCCAGAAATTGAATACTTACACGAGAAATTGAAGCAAAGCCTCCCATATGAGAGCATACACACACACAATCACAGACTCACCTGTACTCTGAGGGAGCTGGGGTGTCCAGGCCTTTGCGGAAGGTGCCCTCTATCTCGGCCGCCAGTGAGTCCATGGGGAGGACAGAGGCCAGTGCAGTGTACCGCTGCACCGTACTGTTGGGTAAGCTCTTATTCCGCAAGTTCTTGATATCCTCTCGGGCCTCACGGAGCATGTCCTCACACTCTGAGTACTTGTCCTGCAGGTCCTTGAGCTGCAGACAGGGGGAGACATATGTGTCAAACTGTAGTACAAGAGGAATACACTGTGCCATTCACAATGCAGGAGCTGGGTATCAGGTATGCTTCTGAAAAGACACACATAAACAGGAGGACTGTAGGGGACACAGAGAAGGTGTTTCTGGGTAAGCATGTGGAGGCTCTCAGAAGTCTGAATTAAACAAAAACCTATTTGTGATCGTGTGATCTGTTTAGATATAATTTTATTTATAAATGTATTTCTCAACATGATAATAGTGTTCAGTAACTAGTTTGTTTCTAAACAATGTGGTTTGGTAAACTCCCACAATAACATTCACTAAAAGAAAGTTAGCTTTGCAAATGTTTACATATGACTCCTGTGCATGTTTGCAGACTTGAAGGCACAAAGGTTTGTTTTAGTTGTCCACATTCTGATTGCAGCCATTTTGAAAGGAAAATAAAACTGAGCTCAGGTAAGAATGTAAAAGGATTCTATTCCAACTTCAAGTGTATATTTGGTCAAAGTGAGTGTCTTGCCTCTGATTTAAGTTTTAGCTGGCTCTCTCGGGAGGCACTCAGGTTTTGGTTCAGCTCCTCATTCTCATGGGTGAGCTAGAGGGACAGAGAGAGGAAAGTTAGGAACGTTTTATTGTGATGTGACATAAATCCATTTGACAGCAAAGGTAAGTATTCAATGTGACCTTTTACATAACTCTTTAAAAAGTCAGTAACTGTTTTATGTAAGCTCCTTGAGGGCACCTTGCCTGGTGAATGTGTGTGTGTGTGTGTGTGTGTGTGTGTGTGTGTGTTTCGCTCACCCCTTTGCAACGGGCCTGCAGGTCAACAATCTGAGCGAGCAGTGAGCTGATCTCCTCCTGCTGTCGGAGAGAGTCCTCTACTTTCCTCGCTAGCTCCTCTGACAAGTCGACCACCTGCTTATTGACAGTGGCTGAAACACACAAGTCCCGTAAATACTCCTGTAACTCATCATCTCTGCTTTATTTTCATATATTCAAACAAAACTGTCAACACTTACAGAGTTCTTCCACACACACCATCATCAGCTCCTGTTCTTGCTCCTCGTAGTTGGTGGTCTCGGTTGTGAGCTCGTTGGCCTGCAGAAATAATGTACATTAATGGCTTATTTATAGTTAGAAGTGTGTTTAGTTTGTATTTACATTTACACAATGTATAATAAGACTGAAAACTGTATTTTTACTTAATCCTAAAAAAGATCAGTAGTTTATAACATAATATCAAATGCAACATTTTAAACAGAAATTACCATAAAAACAATGCTGAACGTCTTTACTTGTTCTTACATTTCTGAGAAACTTCCCTTTCAATTCACTCTGTGTGAGAACTTTGCAGTGACGCATACCTCTAATCTCAGTTTACGGTTCTCGTCCTCTAAACCCTTCAGTTTCTGCTGCAGGAAGTCATAGTGGACGAAGTTGCTGAGAGAACTGCACGATTCATTCCTTTTTATGCTGCAACAAGAAAAGAAACAGTTCTTTGCCTTAGACATCTTTCTGTTTTTCTTACTTAGAAAACTTAAGCTTGCAGAACGAAGTGGTAATGAATGATCAGAATAAATAAGCTGCTGCAATGAAAAGAAATTAAAAGAGAACAGTAATGAATAAGGATCATCATTAACTGCTGATGGGAAAGAGTTTAGCTGAAAGCTTAGCTGAAAACTTACAGAGGATCAATGGAGAGGCTGTGACGTATGTTTACTTACACACAGACTCAGTGCACTGAGGATTATTAACATTAAGGGATCTCTTTTATATCACTGAATAACTATAGCAGGGAGGCTGTTGTTAATTCATTTTGTGTTATGGTACAGCACAAGCTATTGGTTTCTGTCGATTCTATCCCTCACACAACAACATGTTATGACAGTTTTTTGAAAGGCAAGAGGTTGCTCTATGTTTTGAAAAGAAAATGAGGTGTATTTTCTGTTTGAGTGTGGTAATTGTTCAGCCAGTTAGTACCATGAATTACACGCATTCTTATTTATTCTGGAATAAGTCTGGACTAAGTCACAAACCTACACTTTGCTTTAATGGACGTAGGATTTACGTCTATCGGTGAAGTTGCAGATTCCAAACAACTTAACACTGCTCGCGTCTGTATTTGATGACCGGGGAATGAGAACGTGGTGTGTAGGAGAATTTATCGTGGCTGCGAAACTAGCAAAAGGCCTTATCTAGATCTAGAGCCAGTGTTTGGCTTCTGGGCTAGTATAGAAACATGGCGGCTACCATGGAAGAGGACCCTTCCTCTGTAGATAAAAACGGCTCATTATAAAAGTAACGAAACTATTATATTTTAGGTGATTATAAACTAATGAAAACATACCTATGAATATATTATAACATTTCTGCCAAGCTAATTTTAACTAAATGTTAAACACTGGACAAACTAAATACTGTATGTTTTCAAGAAGCGAAATATTTCCACCTCTATGTATTGTGTGTGTGTGTGTGTGTGTGTGTGTGTGTGTGTGTTTGTGTGGGTGTGTGCGTGAATGTGTGCGTAAACTCACGGTGAGCGCGCTTCAGCATTCTCGATCTCCTCAGTGCTGGCATAGAACTGAAGGAGGTCATCTCGCATCGTGAGCTCATGGCGAAGTTGAGCAATCTACAAAAACAGAGTAAGCTAATATCATTTGAGCTCAGTAGACTGTATTATTATATATATATAATCATGTGTGATCAGTGTGACTGCACTAGTGTGTACTATAGAGGTTTGTTTATACCTCTTCCTTTGCTATTTCAAGCTGTTCATCCAGCATTTCATTGCGTGCCGTCAGTTCTTGGTTCTGCTTCAGGAGGGACTGACCGATCCGCGCTGCTAACTCGAGATCCCGCTCTTTCTGCAAAGTGAAACGTAAATACAGCATTTATTTTAATGAAAAATGCATAATAGTATTTATTTATTTATTTTTTGTCTAAATTTAGCAGTTACAAAACCACAGTTTTAGCAAGGAAATCACATTGCAGTTCTTTTTTTTTTTTTTTACAACAGCACTGACAGAAACAAGCGTGCTGAATAGGGTGACAAACAGTGATGGTCAGTGAGGCATATAAATTTAATCCTCTATAATCCCGTTAATCTGCTGTGTCTCTCTCTTACCTCCTCCAGCAGGTGGGTGACTGCCTTGATGTCATGATATGTCTTGGTGACCTGGCCCACTCTGTCTGAGCACAGCACTGCGGGAGGAGGGAGGGAGGGATTTAATGAATGGAGGAAGAGACAGGAGACAGAGCTGTAAAATGCATAGAAAAGATCCTGTAACAACACAGCCTTGCTGACTGTTTGTGATGGGATTATTATGGGCTTGTGAGCAATAACAATTAGTCAATAGGGGCTGCTGTTTTGATTTTGACTGACCTCTTCCTCCCATTTCTACCACAGTCTCTACTTATGAGAGAGAATAAAGTTTGATATCTTTTATTCTATATTTTTTTATATAGAATATATATATTATATTTTACATATTGATTAACTTTTACTTCATTTATTAAGACAGTATTGCTGTTTCTGAGCAGTTAGTGCGATAATTAACTTGGCAATCCCATCATGTGTCCAGTGCTGTCATTTCTCTTTCCCTTTAATTATCTATTAAAAGTTTATGGTTTTCTGTTGTGCTGCTGAAAATGGATTATTCATAGATTATTGAATCATATAAGTGAAGAAAGAGAGGCTGCCCTTATAAACATGCCCTTGTCACATAATTATTATGTTAACCTGTAACAACACACAGTAGTCTCTGTATGAATGAGTGTCTCAAGTAGATCTTGTTTCTCCTTTAAGTTTCCACAGCTACACACCACAACATCTCCAAGTGGTCAGCCAGATACTGATCCTCTTAGCTTGATCCTTTTTAGCCCAGATAAGACGCCAATAAAGACCTCGTTCTCCTGAACACCAATATAGCTCAATGGGAGAGACTGCCAGGGATAAACTGACAAGGTGTTCATGCCGGCAGGGCAGGTAAAACATGGAGGGATCATTGTGACTGGCTATTGACCTGCATTCTGTTTACATCCTGGAGAATAGTTTGTTTATGTCCACTTCAAAGTCAATAAGGTGTGGAAGTGAGTGAGAATGAGTGATCTTCTCAGTTCTGATGGATTTAGTATTGACATGATGCCATTAATGAACTGTATTGACAAAACAAGCCAAAGGTATTAACAATAATCCAAGTCTAAGTCCAATACTGCATTTTGATTGTATTCTATTTATTTTATGTTATTATATTTTGTAATACTACCTGCAATTGTAGGTTTTATGTTTTTTGGAGC